CCCGCACCATGGTTTTAATTTCAACATTCTGGCTGAATCTCTTTGGACCACTTTTTCAAAGGCAGTCCCACACACAGCACATTATAGTAATCCAAACAAGATGTAACTAAGAAATGAATCAGCATTGCTGACACAATAGTTGTAATTGTACAAATGCACTCCTGACTACTGTAGAAGCCTGGGCATCCAATGTCAGGGTGGTGAATTAAGGATTACATTAAAACAGTGAGCCTGAATGTTCAGGAAGTGTGTAGCTCCATCCAGTGCAGAATGAATCTGCATCACCTGAAATGTCTTTTGACTGAGCAGTAATTCTGCTTTAATAAATTTTCAATTTGTTCACTGTCATCCAAGCAATGACTGACAGCAGATGCTTGTTTAGAACTGAAACAGCTTCCTTTGATTTAGATGGGGGAAAAGTGGAGTTGGGTGTCATCAGCATACTGGTAACACCAGGCCCCAAAATTCTGGACAACCTCCTCCACAAGTTTCAAGTATATGTGAAATAGCAAATGCATATAAAGAGGTGAATGGTCTGGAACAGCATCCTCTGAGCAATAAATCCACTGAGAGTTCCTGTTAAATCACAGATATAGTCACACGCACTTGTAGTAGAAGAAAAATAAATCAGGATCAAACAAGAATTTAATCTTGTCAGTAGTACTGTTTATCAGTGTAGAAAAAAACTCAGTGTATATATATATATATATATATATATATCTGTTATGTGATGTGATGTGTGTGTATTGTAAAATATAATTCAGTTTTTAAAGTGTGTATGTTGAATAGCATGAGAGGCAAAATGGAAGCCTGAAGTATTCCATAGGCCAATGGCTGAAATCTCACAGGTAGGAATTTCTGATGAATGTTTGAACATTTTCCTTTTCAGTCTCTTCTAGAACCACATGGATAAATTTGGTTTTCTCTTATAGAACATCCTGCAATTTCCCAATTTCACAGTTTTGAACAGTAATGCATTTTGAGCACCAAAATTTGGAATTATTATTTTAAATGTTCATATATATTTAAATAAATATATTGTGTGGAAGCAATGAGCTTTACCAGTCGATCTTCATCTTTAAGTCTTTTCATCTTCCAGTACAAACTTAACAATATAGTCTTTCATTCAATATTACATGAGCCAAAATTTCTTAAGAGAACATCCGCTCCCAGCTCCCTGCAAAAACTGTTTAGAGGACTCCATCTTGTTCCATGTAATACTTGGTAACAACAATAACTTTGCCACATACAAATAACATGGAGAATTTAGAAGGGCTAGCTGTGTTTTGCTCAGCACTTGAACTACACATACCATGAGTGATAGATGGGATTGGGGATGCATATATCCTATTTGACAGAGGATAGTATCTGTTAGAAGGGTCATTACAGGCCTCTTCTATATTTGAAAGTATTTTCTCTTCAAATGACTGTCCAATCTAAACACAATTTAAAGATAAAGAAGCATAGGAGTCTTGAGGTTTCCCATTATCAGTTGGCACCTAGAAAACTAATTGACCAAACATATAGGCTATCTGGACACTAGTTTTTTGTGAGATTTTGGGCTATGCGGCCATATTCTAGAAGAATTTATTCCTGACATTTCGCCTGCATCTGTGGCTGGCATCTTCAGAGAATGGTGGCATGGAAGTGTGGGAGGTATATATACTGTGTGACCCTGGTTGGAGTGATTTACATGTTAATCTGTGTTTTGTTCTGTGTTGAATGGCAAGGCCTCAGGGTGGGAGGATATGCAAGGAGGATTAGTTTCTATTTAATTATTGATTCTTTGTCTGCTGGGAAACCCCCTGACTATGAGTGAAGTTCATTTGCATGTGCTGAGTTTTGATTTTGGTGTTTTTCAGGACTGCCAGCCAAATCTTGTTTACTTTCAGAGGTTCTTCTTTCCTGTTGAGGTTGTCCAGGTGTTTGGAGATTTCAATGGCTTCCCTGTGTATTCTGCCCTGATAGTTGTTGGCATGGTCCAGCATTTCAGTTTTTTCAAGTAGCATTTTATGCCCAAGATGGTTTATAACATGGGAAACTGGTGAGAAAACACAATCTCCAAATGATCTACAAACCAACCAAGAAAATCCAGGAAATGTTGAGCTCAGGGTAGGATAGGAGAGCCCCTCTCACCACCACAGGAGTTTACCACATATCATGCTTTCTCATCACTTTCCCATGTTATAAACCAGGGATAGGCAACCTTTCCCCTTTAAGGGCCGAGGGACTTCAGCACCCAGAATCCCAGGAGCTATTGGCCAACATGGGACTATTGGCCAACATGGCTGAGGCTTCTGGGAGCTGAAGTCCCTCGGCCCTTAAAGGGGAAAGGTTGCCTACCCCTGTTATAAACCATCCTGGGCATAAAATGCTGTTTGAAAAAACTGAAAACTGAAGCCATTGAAATCTACCCTGAGGCCTTGCCATTCAACATAGAACAAAACACAGATTAACATGTATATCTCTCCAGCCAGGGTCACACAGTATATATACCCCACACACCTCCATGCCACCATTCTCTGAAGATGCCAGCCACAGATGCAGGTGAAACATCAGGAATAAATTATTCTAAAACATGGCCTCATAGCCCAAAAAACCCACCATCTGTGAAAGCTTTCGACTTCACATATCTGAACACTGCTTGTCCCCATCTTGAGGAGTTGTACTGCAGTTGTACTGAGACTATATTGAATTAATTCTAAATTTGCACCCATACATATAAATTAGCATAGAAACATAATACAGATATATGTCCTTTATTGCCATTGATTTTCCTAGAGCATAACTGGCCAGTCTAATAAAAACCTTAAATGGGAGAGGGGATTCTTTTGATATTCATAAAGATTAAGAAAACATAAGTCAAGGAAAAAGAACAGACGAGAACACATCTGCTTCCAAGGTGAGCAGGACAGTACTATGGAATACCTATCTCCACAATCAACTATTCAATATCCTATAACTGTCTCACATGACAAACTCTCTTCTTGCTGAAGTGTTAATAATGGGGGGGGGGGGGGTTGGGGGAGTATTGAATTGAAAATCTGTATCCATTGGACATGAAGCCATGGTGGAGTAGAAAGATAAGGGAACCAAAAGTTAAGGCAATCACACATTGAGAACACAGCAGGCTAAATATTAGATGGTAACCTTCCATATAACCTTTAGAGCTCACATTCATTTATCACCTTATTTTATAGAGTTTATAATCACCTCACATCAACCATCCCTGCATTAATCTGGATTCTTTGTAACCAAACACTGACTTCTGCTAAAGTTGATAATATTTTTTTTAAAAAAAATCTACAAATAATAAAAGTGAAGAATATTTCAGTAAAACACATTACTGGAAAAGAGCATTTGTCAACAAAATGGCTTGTTTGGAATTTATATTTAATTAGAATTATGGAAATCTAATCTGTCTGAGGAAAAGTAGCATATGGATTTACCCCAAAAAAAAAAGTCAGTGTTACACGTAGGAAGTCTTTATAAACATTGATTATCTAGGAAGTGTTGTGCAATATGTAATTATACAGGGATATCTGACTTCTCCCAGGAAATTTAACCTGACATTACATGTTCTGTGTGCCTCAAGGGCTGTGAAATACAACAGAGGTCAAGCAGTAGTCATCCCTACAGACTTGCCTGCACTGGCCAGGATGTAGTCTGAAATATCTGGGCAGCCTGGACTATCCTGGCCTCACAGATGGCCTGACTTGCCCCTGTTACCTGGCCCTCTGTTCCTGCACTGCAGTGGCTCTCTGCATGTCCCACTGAGCTTCCCGGCACACCTGCCATCATCATGGGTTGGCACCCAGCCATGTGATCATCTCTGGGTGGATCACTCACTTCTGAGGTTGTAATAATGCAGTCAGCCATGAGCACAAGGCTAGGCCCTTCATTCTGACCTCAGAATGAGTGACCTACAGTGATGGTGGCAGTAATAGGCTGCCCAGCTGGATGCCTGTGCAGACAGTCACTTCAGGGATCTTCCTGGAAGATCCAGAGCAACAGGTATTGTTGTTATTTTAAAGTATTTTAAGACTGTAATCCCCAGTTCTGGTGCAGAACATGTTGGACACCATCCAATTCTCACACCAGAATCAGGGTTTGGGACATACATCATCAAAACAGGACAACATCAGAAGGGTGTGTGTGGCTTTTTACCCATGTAGACAAGGCCTATGTTCTGAGCATTCTTTCATAATCCCTTCACCCACACCTACTAGTGCCACAACTGCACAGTTCACCTCCCCGAAGTACAGCTGCCTATGGGCTTATTCAGAATGAGTGTGGTGTAAGTGCCACCACTTCAGAATGGATCACTTCACTGGTACTCAGTACATGGCAATATGAGTTATAGGATGACCATGTGCAAAAGAACATAGCTGTATCTTTAATAGTTGGGTAGAAGAGGACATTTTAGCAAGGGGGCAGCTTTTCTCATAACTTCTTGACAAAGGCACACCTGCCCAAATGCATATCAAAGAAACTGGATCTAATCATCCTAATATATCTGGTCATCTCATGAAATATAGTGAGTCTTGGTGATTTGCTATGGAATTAAAGCCAGAATCTATAAATGTTTAATCAAAAGAAAATCCTACTACATTCACTGTGAATTTTCTCAAAGTATTTCCATGCACATTCATTGTGCACATTCAGGGTGGACATCTGGCACACACAGTAGCTAAACAAATATTAAGTTGCTAGCCAGAGCAGATATAAATAATTCCTTACGAGCTAATAATTTACCATAGTGAACATGCTGCTGCTTAGTAAGCCAGTTATCTACATCATCCTAACACCTCTAATGCAATGTTTACTATATATCAGGTATGGGTATAGGGTGAAATGTGTAGTAGTTGTTATATTGATACTTTACAAGAGCCCTTGAAACTGATATTATCTTCAGATCATATTGTACTTCACATTAACCAGTATCCCACACCAAAAAGGCAAATCAGGGACAGTAGTTTTAGGAATGCAAGAAATATTGAGACAGCATAAGTGTAGTGGTTTGAGCATTGGACTATGATTCTGGAAATCAGGGTTCAAATCCCTGTGTAGACATGGAAACCCACTGGACAATCTTGGGCATTCTCCCAATCTCAGAGGAAAGCAAAGACAACCCAACTCTGTGCAAATCTTGCCAATAAAATCCCATAATAGGTTCACCTTAGGTTCACTATAAGTTAGAAATTACTTGAAGGTGCACAACTGCAAAAATAACAACTCAAGAAATATAGAGTGTTGGGTTTTTTTTAAAAAAAAAAAGCAGTTCTATTGAGAAACTATTCCTACCAATAAACTATGTTCACAACGTGGATGCTACTGGTAAACATGTGGAGGATTGTATGAAATATATTCAGGCATCCTTGATTGTCTTGAACAGTGCTTCTACCCTGGGTGGATGGGTGGGTGTGCATGTGCTCAAGTGCTGGTGATGCAGTTGTAAGACAGTTGTGTGTTTAAAATAAAAAACTTATTCCCTTAATCCCAGAAATCTGACACACACATTCAATCTCTTCCTCTGAACATACAGGATAACAAAATTTTGCCTCCATTCGTTGGCCAGCAGTTAGCAGAGGACCTGCTGGATCCCTCCAAACACCTCAGAAGAATGCAGCTGTTGTGTTATGCAAAGAACACAGAAGAGACCTGGTATAGCAATATCAAAATCTGCCATTTTATCTGCCACTGTAGGTAGTATTGCCAGATCACAAAGTCCTCAGGATGAGGGATTTCAGGGTGAGAACACTGCCATGAAAAGCTTGTATCTATATTTTTCTTATTTGTTTGGTGATGGTGGTGATTGTTTTTTTAATTATTTTATTTTAATGGTGTAGTATGTGTAATTGTGGTTGATGCTTAATTTAACATGTTTCATGGCAACACCACAGAATGTTCCTTGTAAGACCACCAGGGTTCACCCCTTGTAACGTCAGAGAGCCCCTAGGTCTCTGGACTTGGTCCTGAAATCTCAGTGCCTGGAGTAGTTCTGACATGGCAACCCTACCCGTAGAACCAGATTTGGGTTTGAAGAGGTCCAGGCAAAGGACTCCACACTTCTCTTACTCCAGCAAGCCCCATGCCCTTCTGAGGCAAGCAACAAAAGTAACACTGAGAGGAATACTGCAGACATACAATAATAAAGCAGCCCAAATCTCTGATGCAGTGGTGTCACTAGGTCGGTGTGGGTGTGGATTGCATCAGCTCAGAAGACTTGTTGGTGGGGTTCACTGCCTTCACTCAGAAGGCCTGTGGGGAGGGTCTCTACCTTCCAAATCCACACACACCATGGAGGGGGCTGCATTGGTCTGGCCGAGCAGGGTTAAGGGCACTCACACACACTGGGTGACACCAACCCTAGTGACACCACTGCTTTGATAGGGTCCCACAGCTTGGAAAAGGATTAGACATTGCTGGGAGTTCTCTAAGTGCCTCTTAGCAAGGGGGCAATTGGCTGAAAAATTTAAATTGTTCTGCCTGGCCCAATGTAGGTGGCTGCACTGAGGTGAGAAGACAGAGCTTAAAGATCATTTCACTTTTGCTGCACAGCAAGGAAGAGTTCTAAGCAAGTGCAACTAGCAGGCATCCCATCACTTTAATCCCTCCCCATTGCCACTGATGTTGTTCTGCTTGTAAACTATAGACACTGAGGAAAGATGAAACTAATTCTGCCTTGGCTTGCTGCAATTGCCTGGAGCTCTGCTCTCTTCCAAACACCAAGGAAGAGGGAGAATTCTTGGAGGATCAATGTTGGCAGTGTAGGTCAAAAGAGACAATCTTATTCCAGGATCACTCTGGAGCAGTACTACCCCAGGGATATAACCACAGCCACTTGGCATTCTTCTCAACACTAAGCAGGAGTGTGTGTGTGTACACATGCATCCATACATACTCTTATGTACATTTGCTTGTCTGCATCCACAGATTGAACCATCCATGGCTTGAAAATATTCCCCCCCACACAAAAAAAAATCCAAAAAGCTAACATTGATTTTTCCATTTTTTATAATAGCATCATTTTTCTACTCCATTGAATATCATGGGACTTGAGCATCCACAGATTTTGGTATCCACTGAGGGTCCTGGAACCAGATCCCAGCAGGTACCAAGAGACACCTGTGTGCATGTGTGTGTTGTGTGTTATGGAGAACCTTAATCACTTAGTGCACAAGCAGCTGTCAGCAATGGTAGGCCATACTACAGCCCTGCCATTTGCTCAACCATGATACCAGCAGGTACCAAGAGACACCTGTGTGTGTGGGTGGTGTGGGTGCGTGCAGCCATCTAGCCAAGGACATACCACACAGACAATACAAAGCCATGTGACACCAATTATATGAGAACATAGCAGAGGGAGTAAATACACAGTGTATACATGCCTCACACTTTTCAGTAACCAGCTGTACTCCTGATATAGCATTTTCAAGCCATCCAGCCAATGCAAGATGTGTGTGAGCATGTGTGTGGTCAGAAGCCCCCAGTCATCACAGCCACTGGCCATTCTGACTAAAAGAATGGAGTTATAGTCCAAAAAGTAACTTATCCAAGTTTTGGAAGACCCTGCAACCCACAGCCTATTATTTCTGACACGTGTAAGTTTGATCCAAAAATCTTTCCCCCTGAATTTAATTTTTAAAAAGAAATGTTTAGATCTACATAATAGCTACAATTGTTGCATTTCCTTGTTGATTTTTAAAAACAATGCAACTAGTTAAAAGAAACAAAGTATTCTCTACAGTATTGCCAAAAAAATCAAGAAATTAACAGTGATTCAACATTTATCAAGAGGTGCAATGAAATCCTAAACAGCCATTCCAAATTATTTTTAAGCTTCCCTTGTTGCTGTACTTGCTGTACTGGATAAAATGGTGAATTCTTTCAGAAGCTCACTTTAACCATCTGTTTGGGTTACCAGTTAAATGAGCAAATTCTCTACATTGTAAGGCTGATATTTCTTATATTCTTGAAAAAAATAATTTCCCAACATTTTTTAGGAAACAGTAAATATTGATCTTGTCATATGGAGGCGCTTTTGAAGGAGATTTCACTAAACATTGGGCAGGGAGAAATCTCTTTGTGGTGACTTTTCTATACTTGCAGAAGGAAAGAGGAGTTGGATCTGAATGGAATAAGAGTGACTCAAACCACAGTAAAATTAAGTTCTTTGAAGCCACCAAAGATATATTGCCTCCTTAGCTTTGATCAACTCACCTTCATACTGTGAGTTAGGTCTACAGAGACAAAGGCCTAATAGACCCTGAATAGGAAAAGCTGGGATGTACTGCATTGAGCTCCATGATGTAAAAATGCTGGCATATGAAGATGCAATAATTAAATAAAACCAGTTGGCTCGCAATGTTCTCTTAAAACAACTGTGATGGTGCTGAAATATGAAAACTAAATACACTGCTAATAAGTTAGAAGTCCATGTGTAGGCTGGCTAATAACAACTTTTCAATTCTACATCAATGTTTTTGGACAATTTACTCAAATTATTGTGAGGGTTTGTGTGTGTGTTTTGAGATTAAAAAGGACACATTGTTATTGATGAGATAATAGCAGATCATTGGCTATCCATGATCACCATGCATCTCCAGTTCTGTTACAAGATCACAGAGTTGGAAGGTATCCTAAGTGTCATCTAATCCAACTGCTAAAGTAGGAATCCACTACTAAAGCACCCCCCAAGAGGTGGCCATCTAACTTTTAAAAACCATGAACAAAGTGAATCTTGTTA